TCTTCATAATCTAGTCCGTAGCTTTGAGAAAAACCACGCGCAACTAGTCGTGCTTTGTATCTATCGATTGAGCCGTCTGATTTTCTCTTCAACCGATAAACCCATTTACAGGTTATAGGTTGACATATTTCAGGTTTTGGAACCAATTCCCATGTTTGATTTTTGCTTAAAGCTTCAATTTCTTCTTCCATTGCCGCTGTCCATTTCGGATGATTTTTGGCTTCGTCGTAACTTGCTGGTTCTTCTTCATCTGAAGCTCCTGTGAAGAAGCATGAAGAAATACTGCAAGAATTTAGTTGTACCTCATAGTCCCTGAGGTAATTTGGTCGTCTCCTCTCCCTTGTCGATCTCCTTGCACTAGACTCCTCATGTTCACCAGAATTATCAACTGTGTTTTCTTCAATTATGGGAATGATCGGGTCTTTTGCTTCTTCTTCGGGGAATGGCTGGAGCTCTCCTTGATCGATTGAAGGAACATCTTCAAATAAAGCTTCTTTATTAGAATAATACGATGAAACCTCATCGAATACAACATCTCTAGAAGTTACAAACTTCTGTGTTTCTGGATCCATACACTTCCATCCTTTTCTATATGGATCATAACCGACAAACACACACTTCTTTGCTTTTGGATCAAGCTTAGTTCGATTTGATTTAGGAATATGAACATAACAAATAGAGCCAAACACCCGAAAATAATTCACATTAGGCTTTGAATTATAGAGAATTTCATGAGGTGATTTTTCTTTACCTGGCCAAGGAGGTAGCCGATTTATCACGTGACATGCGCATTGAATAGCTTCTGCCCAAAGTTCCCTCGGAAGACTCTTGTCGTGCAACCATGAAAGACTCGTGGAAGCAAGGTGAGCTAATTTCCTTTCGGCGAGTCCGTTTTGTTGAGGAGTATTTGGACATGTCATCTGTCTCGCAATACCATTACTATCGCAAAACTGAAAGAAATCATCTGACATATACTCGCCACCATTGTCACTGCGAAGACATTTGATTTTTGCTCCAAACTCTTTCTCGACAGCCCTCTTAAACTCGATAAATTTCGATAAAGCTTCACCCTTCTCCTTTAAAAACTTTACCCATGTATACCTTGAGCAATCATCTACTAATATCATAGCATAACGATTCCCACTATAACTTGGTGTTTTGGTCGGGCCCATCAAATCTGAATGAACCAGCTCGAACATGGTTTGTCTTCGATTCGATGACTTCTTGTAGGGAAGACGATGAGATTTTCCAAATTGACAACCTTGACAAACCACATTCTCACGAACATTCTGTAACGTTGGCATACCATCTACCAATTTCTTTGCTGAAATTTGTTGCAACAGTTGGTAGCCTAAATGACCCAATCGAGCATGCCAAATCGCTGCATTGTCGCTTTGGCTTGTTTTCTTAACATAAGCCTCTCCTGCAGACAAGACAAATAAAGAGCCTTTCTTTTTACCAGCGAGAACAACATCCGCTGCTATATTCTTCACGTTACTAAGAACCATCACATCATCTGGACCAAACAAGACATACTTTCCCGTCTTCGTGATTTGAGAAACTGAAACCAAATTTTTCGTCAAGCCTGGAACAAGATAAACGTCATCCAATCTGATATTTTTGGCACTAGGACACTCGCCGCTAAATATTTCAACAACACCTTCTTTCGCCACTGGGTAAGTTGAGTTATCGGCTGTAACAATAACTCGTTCCCCATCATGTTGATGTAGCTCAGAGAATAACGAGTCATCACCGGTGACGTGATGAGAGCAGCCCGAATCGATAATCCACTCCTCCTTCTGACAAGCGTGATTGGCGGAATCTTGATTTGATGTCGATTGAGTAGCAGCTTTATCACTTCGTTCAACTAGTTGTGTAGTAAAGCATTGCTCCCAATTTGTCAGATCAGATCCTTCATTTTCACATGCAATGTTAGCATTGGAAAGCTTCACACGACAATACTTCTTTATGTGACCAAGCTTTCCACATCTGTAACATTTCTTGGGATTGTTACTATGTGAATTTTCACCACCAACTCTTTCCGAAGTAAAGCGACCTTCATTCCTTTTGTTCCCAGGTGAGGTAAAATTTTTGTTAAATTTTCCTCTTGAGAAGAGAACAGCATCTAGATCAGAACTCTTCGCCATTTGTTTTGCCAAAGCCTCTTGGTTAGAAAGCAAATTTTCTAACTCTTCAACGGAAGGTTGTTTTGGCCATCCTTGTATGGAAATTATAAACGGCGTGTACTCGTTCTTCAAACCGCGAATGAGGAAGCGACGAATACGTGCTTCGCTGATCTTCTCATCCGGATCTAGTTCTGAAATTTCAGCACAAATGCTCTTAACTTTCAAGAAATACTCCGAGATTTGCATACCTCCTTGCGTGAGCGCCGCCAATTCATTTTCCAGCAATTGTAGCCTTGCTGTATGCTTCTTGGTAAAAATCCTCTCAAGTATTTCCCAGACTTCTTTTGGAGAGCTAACATCCCGAACGTGGTCAATGTACTCTTTACCGATAGATGTCCTCAAGGCGAAGAGAGCTTTCCCGCACTTGATCTTCCACTTCCTTCGTGGCTCGACGTTTTCTTTAGTATCTGCTGGAATTTCTGCATCATCACCATCAATTAGATCCCACAGATCTTGACCTTGAAGGTAAGCCTCCATGCACATCCTCCAATACTTGTAGTTTGTTCCTACAAGTTTCTCTACACCGTACTGAGTGGTAGAACTGGATCCCCCGTTTGCCGACTCCATGTTACAAGATACGACTTCCTCTCAATTACTTATAGCCTCCTCCAACAAGACACCTGGTTGCTTGATAGACAAGAAGGAAATAATATAAGATTGCCTCAACGAGGCTCTGATACCATAAAACAAAAATTACTGAGGTGAAGTTTATGTAACGAGGCAAAAACGAGAATATTGGAGGAAATAAATTTCTCTTATTATCTGGATAGTTTAAATGAATTACATATGCTGTAAATAAATAGGATGTGGAGTATTAACAAACTCCTAAATTCACTCTAACAAATTAGAGATAAATCTGCCACTAAAAATATTAATCTAACTACTAGCATAACTTATTTTGACCTGGTAAAAACAAGAAATATGAAATTACTTACTAAACTAATTAAAATTAAAAATGCACTAATTTTCAACAAGAAAGTTTGGTGATGGGGGCTTAAACACACGAGGGGTTCGGGGGCAGCGCCCCCGAAAATTTTTTTGCTATAAAAGAAATTTGAGATGAAAATTTGATACGCATTTTTTTCCCTTCACTTTCAGATGATAATCCAAAACGAATCGTGAAAGCTAAATTGCTATAAAAATTTAAGAAACATGAATCTCAAGTCGATTATCAAATTGACACAATCGACTTCTAATTGATACCCAATCTGAAAATTAAGATGAGAGAGAAGTTGTCAAATGCTAAACGATTGTCGGTGGGTGGCAATTTAACTGCTATTAGTGAGACTATGGGAGAGAACAAAGTTTTTTTTTTTCTTTTTCAAGAAACGTAACGAAGTTGAAAAATAGAAGATGAGAGCAAGTCAGACATGGGGGGCTTTGAGTAAGTGAACTAGAAATAAGTGGGCTTAAATAATATAATTGAATAGATTAAAAAAAAAGGATATAATTGAATAGGCTAAAAATATAAATAAAATATACATGGGGGGCTTTAGTAAATAAACTAAAAATAAGTGGGCTTAAATAATATACT